GAGGGAGCTCCTGACTCCGGATCAGCGCAGCCCCGGCTGTTGTGGCCATCTGGGGTGTGAACCAGCAGATGGAAGACCTCTCCCTCTGTCTCTACCTCTCTATAACTCTGTATTTTAAAGAAATCTTTAAAAAAAGAAAAAAGAGTGCGACACCAAATAATCAAGGTATTTACTTCAGAAGCATTGCAATGGGAGATTTGTATGCCAGAGGAAACGATGAGCATGTGCAAAGAGCTTGAGGCAAGGGGAAACTGAAAAGCAAAATGGAGGAAGATGTAAAAGATGTTTTGGAACCATTCTAGCCCGAGTGGTCAATAGGAAGAATGACACTGGTGCTCGGCTGAGTAGAGTTGTTGGGCAGAAGTGTTTGCCAAGGTACTTTTTGTAAAATGTCAGAGTAGCCTTGTGGTTCTGACAGAGTGTTTTGTGCTAGTCATGCTTAGGCAAATACACTATCCTGCGCCCATACTGGAAGCCAGCCTTGCAGAAGGCAGCTTAACCTGTTGTGCCACAACACTGCCCCCTTCTGTTATGTTTCTTATTTGCTAATTACAATTATCTTTTTAACTTTTTTTTTTTTACTGGAATCTAATGGACTTTTGAGATGGTATAATTAGATAGAGCTGTTTAATCTTCCAATCTCCCCAAACTCCCTTCTTTTCCTTCTTCCTATAGTACTCTATTTTAAAGTTCTACTCATGAATGTTACTTAGACTATCAACTCTTACTTTTTCTCCAGGAAAACTACCTTCATTTCACCCCCCTTTTCTTTTTTTTCAAAAGATTGATTTATTTATTTGAAAGTCAGATTTAGAGAGAATGAGAGAGAGAAGAGAGAGAGAGAGAAATCTTCCTTCTGCCAGTTTACTCCCCAAATAGCCACAATGGCAGGGGCTGGGCCAGCCAGAAGCCAAGAGCCCCGGGCTGCTTCCAGGTCTCCCACGTGGGTGCAGGGGTCCAAGGACTTGGGCCATCTTCTACTGCTTTCCCAGGCACATTAGCAGGGAGCTGGATTGGAAGTGGAGCAGCTGGGTCTCCATCTGGCGCCATATGGAATGCTGGTGTTGCAGCTTTTCCAGCTATGCCACAACATTGGCCCTTTTTCCTTTCAAAAGAGAGTTTCACTAGATGGTGTACTCCTCTGTTGACTGTTGCTCTCATCTCTTGAAACATGCTATACAGGTTGAGCAGCCCTAACCTGAAATCGGAAATGTTCCAGATCCAGAACTGATTGAGCGCATGACATCCTAAGTGGGAAACTCCACACCTGGTGCTATCTAACACATGGCAGTCACAATGCCAGGCAACCACTACACATATATAATGGGAGAGAGAGAAGCTGGTGTCCATACGGGATGCTGGCACTGCAGGCGCAGGCCCACTAAGTGTGTTTTAGTCCTGTGGTGCCTCTTGATGTCCACCCCCCCTCACTTTATTTGCATCTTTCCTCTGTTTCTCGGTAAGGCTTGCCACAAGTCTTATTTTTTTTAAATAAAAAATTTTTTAGAATAGTTTTAAATTTTCAGAAAAATTGCGAAGAGATACTGGGAATACCCACCCATTCACTTGACACTCAGCTTTCCGTATTATTAACTTGTGATATGACTGTTACAATTGGTGATTCAATAGTTAGAGTACTGGGCTCGGTGCTATGGCATAGCGAATAAACGCGGCCTGCAGTGCCAGCATCCCATATGGGCACTGGTTCCAGTCCTGGCTGCTCCACTTGTGATCCAGCTCTCTGCTATGGCCTGGGAAAGCAGTGGAAGATGGCCCAGACACTTGGGCCCCTGCACTCATGTGGGAGACCCAGAAGAAACTCTTGGCTCCTGGCTTGGCATTGGTGCAGCTCTGGGCACTGTGGCCATCTGGGGAGTAAACCAGTGGATGGAAGACCTCTCTCTCTCTCTGCCTCTATGTAACTCTGCCTTTCAAATAAACAAATAAACCTTTAAAAAATGGTAAAAGAGAAATGTTTAAAAATAGTTACAGTATTAATTAGTTAATAATATGCTTTATTCTACTTCCTTATTCTGATTAGTTTTACCTAATGTCTTTTTTTGGCTCTAGAATCCTAAGATACCACATTGCATTTAGTCATCACGTCTCCTTAGGCAACTCTTGGCTGTGAAAGATTCTCAAACATCGCTTGCTTTTGATGATCTTGATAGTTTTAAGTATGCTAAGTGTGTTATAAGATGCCCTCTAGTGGAGTTTGCATCACATTTCTCATGGTCAGATTTGGGCTATGGGTTTTAAGATCACAGAAGTGCCACCTTCATCACATCATATCAATTCTTATTTGAAAGGCAGAGTGACAGAGGTGGAAAGATAGGAAGAGAGAGAGTAGGAGCATCCTTGCTGGCTTTTCTGATAGTGGCTGAGTGTGGGGAGCAACTCGGACTAGACTAAGTTACTGGAATTAAGACTTATTCTATGCATCTGCTCTCCCACAATATGGCGCTGGGAGAGGAGCAAACAGCTTCTACCCAGCTGCCTCTCTTTGGAGGAGAGCAGCGTGCTCGGCGTGTGGTAGCAGAGTTGGGATTGGTGGAAGAGGACTATAAAGGAGGAGAGAGACAACATGCACCAGGAACATCTAAGGGGAACATCCGAATAACATCTGAGCAGCCCCCGAGAGAGCCGGCTCACCCGCGGAGGTGGGGAAAGTGGCAGGGGGGCCCGCCCCTCCACGGAGGTGGAAGGACGGCAGCCAACCCGGGAAGAACTAGCAGCAAACCCGGGAAGGGCCGAGCAGACAAAAGAACAGCGCAGGGTCCTGTGTCGTTCCTCCGCGAAGAGGGGGAACGACATAATGGTGCCGTGACTCACATAGGAAGCCTAGGAGACATAAAAGGCGGCAGCTGAGATCGCAACAATTCTTACTGTTAGAACTTCTGTCTTTGGAACACCAGCCTTCCCTCTGTCTCTGAAGTGTGTGGGGGAGGGAGAAGTGTTTTATATCCTCCCACTCATCAGAAAAGGATTGCACAACCTCTGCTCACCAACCTGTTCCCACCAACAGCCCAGCACATCTGCAGTGGACCTATCTGGGTTTAGTTTTATTTTTTTTAATAAACATTTATTTATTTGAAAGAGTTACAGAGAGGTAGAGGCTGAATGAGTGACAGATGGAGAGAGACAAAGAGAGAGAGAGAGAGAGGGGTTCCATCTGCTGGTTCACTCCCCAGATGGCTGCAAATGCTGGAGCTATGCTGATCCAAAGCCAGGATTTAGGACTTGGGGGCCATGTCCACTGCTTTCCCAGGCCATAGCAGAGAGCTGGATTGGAAATGGAGCAACCGGGATTCGAACCGGTGCCCATATGGGATGCCAGCATTGCAGCTGGCAACTTTGCTTGCTACACCGCAGTGCCAGCCCCTGGGTTCAGTTTAACTCTTCCACTATGTGGAAATATTGTCAGATAACATAGACAAGGGGCTAAGTCCCCCTAGATGCCTCTACTTCAGATGACAATTAGCTTGTCAGCAATACTTCTGATTAATCAGCTATGTATCGGCCGGTGCCAGGGCTCAATAGGCTAATCCTCTGCCTTGCGGCGCCGGAACACCAGGTTCTAGTCCCGGTCGGGGCACCAGATCTGTCCTGCTTGCCCCTCTTCCAGGCCAGATCTCTGCTGTGGCCCAGGAGTGCAGTGGAGGATGGCCCAAGTGCTTGGGCCCTGCACCCCATGGGAGACTGGGAGAAGCACCTGGCTCCCAGCTTCGGATCAGCGCAGCTCGCCGGCCCCAGCGGTCATTGGAGGGTGAACCAACGGTAAAGGAAGACCTTTCTCTCTGTCTCTCTCTCTGTCCACTCTGCCTGTCAAAAATTAAAAAAAAAAAATCAGCTATGTATCAGTGTTCCCATGGCCCCTCCTAGGATTCAATTCATTCAATACAGCGGCTTACAGAAGTCAGGGAACCACTGCTCTTATATTCATCAGTTTACATAAAGAATATTAGGAAGGACCCAGGCGAAGAGCTGCATTGGGCCAGGCCATGTGGGAAGGACCAAGTCACTCTGCAGGAAGCTGCATGTGCTCAGCTATCCAGAGTCTCCCCAACCCAGTCACTTTGAGTGTTAATGGAAGTTTCATTCAATCATCCATCAGCGTGATCAACTTATCCTCCAGTGCCTTCTACTTCCCAGAGGCTGGGGGATGGCCCAAAGAGTCCCAACCTTCTAATCCTTTCCCGTGATCAGTACCCAATCTGAAGTTGCCTGGGACTCAGGTAACACCCGTAGTACACAGGACAGTTATCATTTTTGTTTCATGGATTTCAGGAGCTTCTTTAAGTCAGAAAATGAGATGAACACCAAATACGCATTTTACAACCAGAGTCTTCGGCCTCTCTGGCTTCAGCATCTTTTGACTTCTCCAAGCTCCTTGTTGTTTTCATCCTGTGACTGTCCCTGTTCCCACAGAGTCCATCTTCAGCCTCTTGCCTCTTCTGAGAAGTTTCCCGCTTTTCCCGTTGGTCTCACCCACGACTTCCAGTGGTACTGCAGCTGGGCCTGCCCAGGGAGCACCTTCAGCCCTGACTTCCTTCCTGAGCACGGCCTAAGGCACCCCCCTTCCCTCACCCCAGATTCACATCACCCCCAGATGCCCGAGAGTGAAGGACCAGGTCTGGCTGTCTGATCTGTCCGATGTCTACCAGGTTGCCTGGCTGCTCCTTCACCAAGCACTGCTGTCTCCAAATGGACCCCTCTTGCTGCTTTCCCTTTCTTCCCACTGTTTGTATGGAAACACCAGAGAACACTGGGGCTCCACGTGGGGTTCCCTCTTTACCCAGAGCAGCCTGAACATGCTTCCAGTCTGACAGCGGCACTCTTGGTAGGTAAAGGTCGTCTGCTTTCTCTTGTCTTCCCTGCGCTGAGTTTCCCGAGTCAGCACAAGCTACCCAGACCTCAGCATCCGGCCTGCCCAAGGGAAGCCCTTCCTGGGCTGGATCAAGACCCAAAGGAAAAAGGACAGCACGTCAAAGGCACTGCGTGACACGGCTGCTTTATTGGCTAACTCAGGGTATAACAGCGGCAGACCAGGCCCCCTGGTCTAGAGACACAAACATCTTCACCAAGGGCAAGGCCGAGATGTCCCCTCTCATCTCAGCTTTGCAAGGATGATCAGTCCTTTATATTGGATAGCTTGAAATTCCATAGACCCAGGAACAACGAGCACCTGGAAAGGCGAAGCCACAAGATCCTCAAGGGAAGTGGTCCCACTCGTGCTCACGGCCTTCGGGAGAGGTCTGGTGCTCCGCCTCGATCTTACGAATGTCCTCCTTGGTCAGCGGTTCACTGCGCACATGCTGCAGCATCTGAAGGCCTGTGACGGGAGTGCCCAGAGGTGGTGAGGCAGGGCCCGTGACTGGGAACCCAGAGCAGGCCAGAACCCACCCGAGGACATCGCAGGCTGGATGTCACCCAACTCAGGCCTTCCCAGGTGTCTCATTCCCACCTCCCCACCGCCTTCTCCTCCCTGACTGACTGCTGGCCCCAGAATCGGCAACGGTTCCTGCCCCCTGCTTTCCCAGGGACTCAGGCAATTCTCCCACAGATTTGAAAAATACCCAGCGCTGTCAGGACCTGACTATGAAGCCGTCAGCCACAATTCCAGCAGGCAGACCTACCTTCGGCCTGAAGGTCAGGATGGTCGATCCTGAGGCAACTCATCATGTACATCAGCCATCGTTGTGCCCTAACAGGTCCGGTGATGATGATGCGAGTGTAGCTGCAGGCCACATAGTATCTGTCCAGTTGAATGAGGGTGTTACTGTGCTCCTCGATGCACCGGAGGTACTTGTCATCTTGGCCTGTGAGCAGGAGAGGCGGGGGACAGGACATGTGAACCACCAGCCCTTGGGGGATGGAGAGGTGACCTTGGAGGTGGGAAGCTGGGACAGTCGGGAGTCAGAGGATGAAGAAGGCTGGGAACCCTGGGAGGGCTGGGAAGGAGGTGCAGACAAGGGCTACCTACCGAATATTTGCTCCACTTCTTCATCTTCAACGAGAAGGTTCACTGGGTCCTCAAAGTTCGCAGGTACCGTCCACCACGGCGTCACGATGGGAGCGCTCTGTCCCGTGCCCGACATTGCTACTACGGACTCAGAACGGAGTAGAAGCAGCCAATGGGTTGAAACAAAACTTGTCAAAGGGAAGAAGCACCCAGGACCCTTGTTATACAGACAAACACCTCACTCCCTTGACCCGCCCTAGGGAGGGTATCCAATGGCCAGAGCTCCTCTCCAAAAATCCTATCAAGTGATCTACTCTCGGCTTAGTCCTTTCACAGGCAACCAGGTGTTTGCTCAGCACTGCCTTTTCAGACGTCCAGGAAGCAAACATTTTCTTCTCTGTAATTCCTGAGGATTTTGGAGAGCCCCTCTTAGCTTAATGTGAGCCAGGCCAGAGGTTGAAAATGGAAGGTGCTGGAGCAAGAAGGGGCTCCCTAGATCAGACAGGTACTGGAAGCCAACAGACAGGCAGCCAAACAAAACTGGGATTATAGTGTGGGCTGCATCAAGAGAAAGTAAATAATACAGGGACATGCCCCTTACTGGAGGGAGCAAAGAGGAGCCGATTTTAGGATTTGTCTGTGTGATTCAAAGGTGTCTGGGGAAGCAGAGCTCAGTTTTAAAATGGGACAATTTGGCATTGCTCTTAGCAACAGTCATTCAGGAAGTAGGAAGAATACTTTTTTTTTTTTTTTTTAAGATGTGTTTATTTATTTGAAAGGCAGATTTACATACATGGTGGGGGAAGGGAGGGGAGGAAGAGACAGACATCCATCACTTCATCCTCAGATGGCTGCAACAGCCAGAGCTGAGCTGATCTGAAGCCAGGAGCCAGAGCTTCTTCCAGGTCTCCCATGTGGATGCAGGGCCCAAGGACTTGGGCCATACTCTGCTGCTTTCCCAGGCGCATTAGCACATTACTGATCCTATTTAGTATATGTGCTGCCCCAAGTGAGCACAAGGACACTTGATCCAGATCCCAGAGTTCTCCACTGGGTTCACTGACATTCACACCAATGCTCTCCAGAAACACCACCACAGATACACTCGGAAGTTTACCAGTTCTCTATGCATCCCTCAGTCTTTTCCATTCAACAACTTCAGACATCTCAATGCATTGTGGCAAGAATGTCAAAACCAGTCTTTGGTTTCTCAGGGCCAAACTTGGATCGGACTTGTCAAGGTTCAAAATAGAAGCACTTGGGTCCTGTGTAGTGGGTAAAGCTGCCACCTGTAGAGCCTGAATCCCATGTGGGTGCTGGTTGAAGTCCTGGCTGCTCCACTTCTGATCCAGCTCTCTGTTATGGCCTGGAAAAGCAGTAGAAGATGGCCCAAGTCCTTGGGTCTGTGCACCCACATGGGAGACCCAGAAGAAGCTCTTGGCTCCTGGCTTCAGATCAGCTCAGCTCTACCCATCGTACCGTTTAGCAAGTGTACCACAGATGGAAGACATTCTCTCTCTCTCTCCCTCTCTCTCTCTCTCTCTACCTTCCTTCCTCCCTCCCTTTACTTCTCCATAACTCTGTCTTTCAAATAAAAAGAAAATAAGAGGCTCTTGTGTCAATTCTGACAATAAACAAATCAACTTGGGACATTATGAGGAAGAGTGCTTAGGCATGATTGTCTAATCACAAATACCACAAAACACTCTGCTGGCACCACAACTCACACAAAGGTCACTGCAACAGTTCACAGAATTGGCCTTTGCAAACTTTCTGCCCAGCGATTCTCTGCTCAGCCCCACTCCACTGTTACCCTTCGTATTAACCAATGGGGCTAGGACTGTTCCAAAGATTGTTCCAACACATCTACATCCTCCTCCAGTTTGCTTTTCAAAGTTTCCCCTGGCCCCAACCACTTTGCATATGCTCATCAATGACTCTGGCACACATCAATGACTGCATTGCAATGCTTCTTAGTCCCAAGCAGATATCATTATTCTTTGGAGATTCATTCATTCTCTCTCTCTGAGAGATAGCTGAGTTTTGATAGAGTTGAAAGTCAAGATGAGTATTATGAGGAAAATTCAGTTCCAGAATGACCAGAGAGGAAAAACTGCCTCTTGAAGTGTTGGAAAGAGATTTTTGGGGGCTGGTGCTGTGGTGCAGTGGGTTAACGCCCTGGCCTGAAGCGCCGGCATCCCATATGGGCGCTGGTTCGAGACCTTGCTGTTCCACTTCTTATCTAGCTCTCTGCTGTGGCCTGAGGAAGCAGAGGAAGGTGGTCCAAGTCCTTGGGCCCCTGTACCCATGTGGGAGACCCAAAAAGCTCCTGTCTTCGGATCGGCGCATCTCTGGCTGTTGCAGCCAACTGGGGAGTGAACCATCAGGTGGAGGACCTCTGTCTCTCACTGTCTCTCTCTGCCTCTCCTCTCTCTGTGTAACTCTGAATTTCAAGTAAAATAAATAAATCTTAAAAAAATCAGTTGGAGGGTGAAATGTCATCAATTGATGCAATTGAAAGTGATCATTTCCTGAGAAAAATGCGCAGGAGTTTTCTCTTCGCTCTGGTGGCAGAGAAATGCAATAGAAGATGAAGAAAGAAAATGAAAATTGCTGAATCTTTTTTTCTTTTTTTTATTTGACAGGTAGAGTTACAGACAGTGAGAGAGAGAGAGGAGAGAGAGAGAGAGAGGGTCTTCCTTCTATTGGTTCACTCCCCAAATGGCCCCCAAGGCCGGTGCTATACCAGTCCGAAGCCAGGAGCCAGGTGCTTCCTCCTGGTCTCCAATGCGGGTTCAGGGCCCAAGCACTTGGGCCATCCTCCACTGCACTCCTGGGGCATAGCAGAGAGCTGGACTGGAAGAGGAGCAACCGGGACTAGAACCCGTGTCCATATGGGATGCCAGTGCTGCAGGCAGAGGATTAGCCAAGTGAGTCATGGCGCTGTTGTGGCCATCTGAGTAGTGAACCAGCAGATGGAAGACCTCTCTCTCTGTCTCTACCTCTCTGTAACTCTGTATAATAATCAAGGTATTTACTTCGGAAGCATTGCAATGGGAGATTTGTATGCCAGAGTAAACGATGAGCATGTGCAAAGAGCTTGAGCAAGGGGAAACTGAAAAGCAAAATGGAGGAAGATGTAAAAGATGTTTTGGAACCATTCTAGCCCGAGTGGTCAATAGGAAGAATAACACTGGTGCTCAGCTGAGTAGAGTTGTTGGGCAGAAGTGTTTGCCAAGGTACCTTTTGTAAAATGTCAGAGTAGCCTTGTGGTTCTGACAGAGTGTTTTGTGCTAGTCATGCTTAGGCAAATACACTATCCTGCGCCCACACTGGATGGCAGCATTGCAGAAGGCAGCTTAACCTGTTGTGCCACAACACTGCCCCCTTCTGTTATTTCTTATTTGCTAATTACAATTATCTTTTTAACTTTTTTTTTTTTTGTACTGGAATCTAATGGACTTTTGAGATGGTATAATTAGATAGAGCTGTTTAATCTTCCAATCGCCCCAAAACTCCCTTCTTTTCCTTCTTCCTATAGTACTCTATTTTAAAGTTCTACTCATGAATGTTACTTAGACTATCAACTCTTACTTTTTCTCCAGGAAAACTACCTTCATTTCACCCACCTTTTTTTTTTTTCCAAAAGATTGACTTATTTATTTGAAAGCCAGATTAGAGAGAAGGGGAGAGAGAGTGAGAGAGAGAGGAGAGAGAGAAATCTTCCACCTGCCAGTTTACTCCCCAAATAGCCACAATGGCAGGGGCTGGGCCAGCCAGAAGCCAAGAGCCCCGGGCTGCTTCCAGGTCTCCCAGGGTGCAGGGGTCCAAGGACTTGGGCCATCTTCTACTGCTTTCCCAGGCACATTAGCAGGGAGCTGGATCAGAAGGGGAGCAGCTGGGTCTCCATCTGGCGCCATATGGGATGCCGGTGTTGCAGCTTTTCCAGCTATGCCACAACATTGGCCCTTTTTCCTTTCAAAAGAGAGTTTCACTAGATGGTGTACTCTGTTGACTGTTGCTCTCATCTCTTGAAACTGCTATACAGGTTGAGCGCCCTAACCTGAAATCGGAAATGTTCCAGATCCAGAACTGATTGAGCGCATGAATCCTAAGTGGGAAATCCACACCTGGTGCTATCTACACATGGCAGTCACAATGCCAGCCAACCACGACACATATATAATGCCTTCCCTGGCCAATAGCGTGATGCAGTGGTCAGCTGCTCGCAGCACTGGTTGAAGTCCTGGCTGCTCCCCTTCTGATCCAGCTCCCTGCTAATTCATCTGGGAAGGCAGCAGAAGATGGCCCTGCCACTCAGCATGGGAGCCCAGATGAAGTTCCAGGCTCCCAGCCTCAGCCTGGCCCAGCCAGGATATTGTGGCCATTTGGGGAGTGAACCAAAGTTTTAACACTTTCCTTCAGGCCATGGTATAAGGTCTATAGGAAACAAGTTTTGCGTTTACACTTGGGTCTGAGCCCCAAGAGAGTACACTGTAGAAGTTTTCAGAAAGTGTGGGAGATGTGTGTTAGGAAGGCTATACGTGGATTTCAAACTTTTTTTTTTTTAAGATTTATTCATTTATTTATTGGAAAGTCAGAGTTACTGAGAGAGAGAGAGAAGCTGGTGTCCCTATGGGATGCTGGCACTGCAGGCGCTGGCCCACTAAATGTGTTTTAGTCCTGTGGTGCCTCTTGATGTCCACCCCCCCTCACTTTATCTGCATCTTTCCTCTGTTTCTCGGTAAGGCTTGCCACAATTCTTACTATTTTATTTTTTTAAATAAACAATTTTTTAGAATAGTTTTACATTTTCAGAAAAATTGCAAAAAGATACTGGGAATACCCACCCATTTACTCAACACTCAGCTTTCCCTATTATTACCTTGTGATATGACTGTTACAATTGATGATTCAATAGTTAGAGTATTAGGCTCGGTGCTATGGCATAGAGAATAAGCATGGCCTACAGTGCCGGCATCCCATATGGGCACTGGTTCCAGTCCTGGCTGCTCCACTTGTGATCCAGCTCTCTGCTATGGCCTGGGAAAGCAGTGGAAGATGGCCCAGACACTTGGACCCCTGCACTCATGTGGGAGACCCAGAAGAAACTCTTGGCTCCTGGCTTGGCATTGGTGCAGCTCTGGGCACTGTGGCCATCTGGGGAGTAAACCAGTGGATGGAAGACCTCTCTCTCTCTGCCTCTATGTAACTCTGCCTTTGAAATAAACAAATAAACATTTAAAAAATGGTAAGAGAGAAATGTTCAAAAATAGTTACAGTATTAATTAGTTAATAGTATGCTTTATTCTACTTCCTTATTCTGATTAGTTTTACCTAATGTCTTTTTTTGGCTCTAGAATCCTAAGATACCACATTGCATTTAGCCATCACGTCTCCTTAGGTAACTCTTGGCTGTCAAAGATTCTCAAACATCGCTTGTTTTTGATGATCTTGATAGTTTTAAGAATTGTTAAGTGTGTTATAAGATGCCCTCTAGTGGAGTTTGCATGACATTTCTCTCATGATTAATTTCAGCTATGAGTTTTAAGGAAGATCACACAAGTGCCACCTTCATCACATCATATCAATTCATATTTGAAAGGAAGAATGACAGAGGTGGAAAGATAGGAAGAGAGAGAATGAGAGAGAGGAAAAAAAATCTACCTTCAGTCAGCTGGTTCACTCTCCAAAAGCCTACAGTAGCCAGGGCTGGGCCAACCCAAAGCCAGGAACCAGGAACTCCATCCAGGTCTCCCATGTGGGTGGCAGGGACCTAAGTAACTGAAGCCATCATCTGCTGCATCCCAGGAACACTGGCAGGGAAGCTGGAAGGGAAGCAGAGACAAGACCCAGTCCCAGGCACTCCAATACAGGATGCAGGTATCCCAACCGTGGCATAGCCCATTGCACCATGCCTCCCCTAATTGACTTGACTTTTAATGTTGACCTTGATCATCTGGCTGAGGCAATCCTTGTCAGGTTTTATGTGACAAACTTA